TTTTTTGTCCGGACGTTTCTGTACCCCTGACACCGGTCTGGACTGTCCGGGTCCGGTGGTGTCCAGGTGTCCGGTAATCTCCGGAACACCGGACAGTCCAGACCGGTCCAGACACTGGTCCGGAAAACAGTCCGGAAGTGTCCGGTGTCCAGGTTCACTGTTGCCATGTTATTTTACGTAACATATATTTTCAGATTTTTCCGAGAATTTTTTTTTTTATGTTATGTTCAGAGGGTTTTGGCGCTCGTTTGCACTCGGTCACGAACGTTTGGTTTCGGTCACAGAATGCGAACACAATGCTATGCAGTATTTATCAAACTTTCTTAAGCCCTACATTTAAGCATACTTTCTTAAGCCCTACATTTACCAAACTATTTTAGACCCTACATAATTTTATCAAACTTTCCTAAACCCTGCATTTACCAAACTTTTTTAAGCCCTGCATGATTTTAATGAAACTCTTCGATGAGAGGCAATCGATCGCGAACATATTCACCAAACTTCCCTAAACCCTACACATTCACCAAACTTCCCGAAACCCTACACATTCACCAAACTTCCCTAAACCCTACACTTACCACATTTTCATACACTCACACCAACCTCTGCTATCATACTTGAAGCGTTCCCACCACATCTGTCGGCCCACTTGTCACGCGATTCTTGATTCACTCTTCACCACATTTGGCAAGGCCCATCAAAATCATAAAAAGTTTCCACACATGGAAACACGTTGTCCAACGCCAAGCCCAGAAACGCGTACAACATTCAATAAACCTAGCAAGTATCATCAATTGCCACTTCTAAAATCAGACTCGACTCCAACTCGCTTGCAACATGCATACATGCATAAGCCGATGGCAAACCAACTTCGTCAACTCAGAACTCAGCCATGAACTTGCACTGGCGACGTGCGGCCACACAGAAAACTCAGAGATATGGCCTCTGGCCAGAAACTCAGTTCAAGTCAACTGTTACAACATGCGGCTATGGCCGCCAACACTGCCTGAAGCCCCCACTGTACACTGTCTACACCATCAGCCTCAACCTCACTCACTCACCCATGTACGAGGATCCACACTGATGCCCACACTACACACACACACACACACACACACACACACACACACACACACACACACACACACACACTGTACGCTCAGTCAATGTCAGCAGCTGGGCAGCTATGACCGTCGCCGTCTTCCTCCTCCCAGCTATGGCCGTCGTCTTCTCCCTCAGCCCAGCAATGCCTGTTGTCGTCTTCCTCAGCCCACTTCCACTACGGGCACCTGCAGACCTCCCGCACAAGTCGCTGTGGTAGCACTTCCGCATGGCTCACAGGCGAATGAATGAATGACTGGACGCTGCCCCTTTATTTATACTTGGCTGCAGGTGGCCTCGTCGGCCCAGCCCTCGGCCAAAACGCGTGGGCCTGGGGGAGCCCAAACCGAGTGGCACTCATGGCCTCAAAACGCGTGGGAAAACCGCGTGGAACTCCCCCTCCCAAACCATGTGGGACTCCCTGGTACTTGCTGACTGGACAAGGTGGACTTTCACCTTGCTGACTCAGACACGACCAGTGGGACCTATGACCTTCTAGGACCTAGGAGTAGAGACTTCCAGAAGACCCTAACTAGGCCTAACGGTAACGTACCTAACTGCTAACACAAAGACCTAGGGATCAAGACCTACGACAGACTAACATGCTGACGACTAACTAACCTACAGGGTTAGGAACTGGTCACAGGTTCAAATCTCACATAGGGTCAGAAGGCCAATGTACAGGGTCAATGGTGTAGGTCTACGGTTCGAGTCCTACAGTCTAGATCTGTCAGGTAAACTGGGTGAAACCGTTTCACTTCCCACCTCCATTGTTGGTACAGTCTACAGGAGAAGCTCAATGACAGGTGACAATTGCCGTTTAACATTTTGTAACTTTTATTATTTTCTTGTTCTTTCACACATGCATAACCAGGTGTAACCACGAGCAAGTGGGAGCGCAAGAAGCAGCTTGACTGTTTCATACCGTCTTCACCCGAATAGAATGCGCAGTCATTATAGTCGTATTCGGGCCAAATTTAGTCCAATACTGGCAATACGGAAATAATCGCCATTTGTTTTACTGAGATGAAGACTGTCGTACAGGACGTAGATTGGCTCTACTTACTACCCTCATCATCCTTGAACCCTTACCTTCCTGAGCGCAGGTTTTCGTTCAGTCCAAGAAGATTGTCAGATGAAAGTCTGGCCTTCAGCACCCTCGCCTGATCCCTGGTACACTCTTCCACACGCTGAGACATTGAAAAATCCAAAGAGAGTTTCACTGTGATGTCAACGATCCAAATCGAATATTTGGGCAAAAAAAGAGCAAAAAGAAAAGAATAAACCTTGACATACTTCCATGCAGCCCAACAGCTTTTGAACCCTTGACTACAGTGGTAATCACTGCAATTATTACAATCAAGCAGGCCACATATGTTAGGGCTTGCTCACATATCGTACGGCTTCCTTCCACAGACAAGACTTCATCCAATGAACTGGATAAATTTTCTGTCCTACAGCTCATGGGAGGGCGTTATTATATCACATGAACTTCTATCAGACAACACAGCAACTGTGGATGCACAATTATTATGAGCTTATAGATAATTCTATCCTTTCTTAATCTCGAAGCTCCTCAAGAATCTGAAGCTCGTAAGTGTATCCCTGAGCGTTTACATTTAACTAATAACTATACTGATTTTTTAGGTATGTCATTTTTTAAGCCAATAGAAAGAAATTCTCTGTTCTCAAAAAGAAAATGTAAGTCCAAAAAACATCAGTTTCAAGTCTTACTTGATAGGCCATGACAGTTACCTTAAAAATTAAAATAAAATAAATACAACAACTAAAAAATGATCTCGCATGTTAGTATGATACACCCTTTCCTTTTCTCAATTTGACCATTTCTCGATTAAATTCTGCACCACCATCCTTGTCAAGAGTGTGATAATCATCTGCTCTGCAGACGATTGTTACAATCATGGTCACTTCCAAGGTGCAAATTCACAAGGAAAGACAATGCCACCCAATTGCGAAAGAAATGAAAGCACTTGCAAAGAGATAGAGACCAAAGAAGAGAGAAAGAAGAAGAAGAAGAAGAAGAAGAAGAAGAAGAAGAAGAAGATGTACACCAGCAAGACCAATGACAAATCCCCCTTCTCTCTCCACCTTCCTCCTCCTCCTTGACTTTGCCAATCTTATTCTTCTCCACAATAATAATAATAACAATGAGTGGATGAACCAGAATCAATATCCGAAGTTCCCTCTTACTACTGACACAACAATAGGTCCACCATAGCCATGGCTTCCCCCTTCTTCCTCCTCTCACATGCCTAAGCTATGGCAGACTACTAAGGGTCGTGCCCTCCTGTCCAAAGGACAACCCAAAATAAGTATGGTGCTGCACTCCTGTCCAAAGGACAACACAAAGCCGCTATGCCGCTGCTCACTAAGCCGTCATGCCTGACTCTGCCTTGAGCTTCCTTGGTGTGGCACTACCCCAACTGGGGCCTTCCAGATGCAGCGCCCAACAAGGTATGAAGATGGTGTCCACCATACCCAGGTAGGTACCTCGCCACTCTCCTCCTTCGCCCCCTTTTTCCTCCTCCTCAGGCTGGGCTGCTCACCATAGCCAGGCTGAGTGCCCAGCTGCTCTCCTCCACCAGGCATAGTGCTTGGCTCCAGCAGTATGTCGCCAATCCTTGCACACCGCAAATGAGGAGGAGCTGCTTGCTCCTCCTGAAGATATAGCGCCCTACTGGCCACTTCGGCGGTGACTTCCTAGGCCGAGCGGCCTCCCAGCAACCGGTACCTCCTCCCTTTCGGAGGGAAACATCATTGCAGGCTCTGATATCGTCCAGACAGGCCCTAGACTCAGGCTACTTGGACTGGTACCGGCCTACCTCTAACCTACCAGTACTGCCTCTAAAAATGCCAACTTTTGTCTTCGTCTGCTGGGCCTCCAGTACCCGACACTTCTACCACTACTTGAGTGGTACCGGCCTACCTGCTGCTTGACTGTTTTTCCCCCTGCTCTAAGTGTGGCGGGCCTACCCCTGCTACTTGAGTGTTTTCCGCACTGCAACCCTCAAAGTCATGGCCACAGGTAAGTACCGGCCCTGCGGGGCCTTTCAACCAACAAGTACCCTTGCGGGTCACACACACTCTCAGGCCAACAAGCACTCAGACAGGCACGCAGACCAGCAGGCACGCACACACACAGACTTAGAAATCACAACAGAATGCGGCAATCTCAGTGAGGCATACATTCCGGCGGCAAATCCCAGAAATCAGCAGTGTTCTCAGTCTGTGTTTTGGCGGGTCATTACACTACCCCCCTCTCAAGAGCGAGGTCCCTTCGAGCGAGTAACTCATTCAGAGTCAGCACAAAATGCRTCGTAGGCGTASATCAKAAASAGRGWTTYRGTAWRACCGTGAGGAGYGAGTTTTGCAGAAAACTTAGCAGGCTGTCCATCAGCGATCTGTCGTTCATAAGCGTTAACAACACGGGGAGCATTCTTTAGCAGCTCTTTTCGGTTGATCCAATTGAACTTGTCCAACGGGTGATAGGGGAAGTGAACCTTGTACCGTCTGTTCCTGCCTCTTCCTTCATGGAAAATAATTATGTCTATTCCGTGGCCACCGTTGATAGCACGAGCGATCATAGGATCTCGGAAGGGAAAAGTCTCATCATCGATGTGTGGAAACAATTTGGACGCGTGAAAGACCGGACGCGTGAAAGACCGGATATCTGCGTAGATGAGGAGGCACGTCAATCACATACGAAGGACCAAAATCATCCCCTACCAACTTGCCAAGGGCCATAGTACAGTTGAAGAAGCTTTCCGTGATACGCCCTCTTCGTCAGGAAATTCAGACATTTTGACCCAGACATACTTCCTACTTCGAAGTTTTCTTCTTTGTGCGACTTGTTAGCATGTTTGATCATGGCATGTTGACGCTTGTTCATTGCTGCGATAGCAGCTTTGAGCAAGCGTGCATACTTGGCATTGTAGACAGCCATGTCGGGCGTCAGACCAGGTGACCGATCGGGGAACAGGTAGGAGAGAAGATTGCGCAGCTGCCAATCGTATTGCAGCTGATTCGGTGTCACGCCAATTGAGGAGTGAATGGAGTTATTGTACAACCCCTTCACACTTTGTGTAACTCCTTGTCCCACGTGTTCTGATCGGGAACAATTAACGCACAAAGTAGTTGAATGACGGTCAGGTTGATTTCCTCGGCCAGCCCATTGGCTTCAGGGTGTCGACCAGAAGTCATCTTGAGTTTAATGTCGTAGATTTGAGAGGTGAAATCCTTCCAATAAAAGGGCCTTTACGAATTAGACCCCAGATGAGTACCCCAACAGCGAGGGGCCCTGTCGGCCAGAACCTAAATTCACGAGCAGCAACCCAAAAGACAAAGTTCCTGAGGCAAATGTCACATCCATAATGAAAGGAAAGGTCATTTTGAACAGTCACAAACAGGTCCTGAACGAACAGGTATCGGACACAGTTTTTAAGACTGAGAAAGGGTCACGTCTCCTCGATGGAAAGTCACGTCTATTCAGCAATGAGTCAAAGGCCACAGTCCCAGTCCAGTCATAATCCCACGAGTCAGTCCTGATTCAGACCAGGAGTCCAAAAGACAGGCCCGATGGCCCAAAGCAGCAGCAGACCATGGGAAAAGATACTGGGACACACACTTTGCAACAACAGGTACCGGGTAGGAGTTCCAGACACTTGAGGCTGAATGCAGGGCACGCCAGACCAGTCCAGCACTATAAAGGACTGGCCAGCCTCCCATTTGACAGATGCTCACTTCGCATGAGAGTGTGGAAGTGCCGTGGCACTTGTGCGCTAGATGTGTGGGCTGCGCTAGGCTGAAGAGCAGCGCTATGTGAGAGTGAAGAGAGTGCTGGCTAGAGGGAAGGCAGCCATAGCTGCGCCAGCGCTAGTTAGTACATTAGTAGGGATAGTTAATAGGAGAGTTCAGTGAGTAGTATTCAAAGTGTCTCCAGTCCTATTCGTACCGAAGGAAGGAAGGAACACTTAGGATGAGCATTGACTATAAGGACCTCAATGCCATCACTGTCAAGAACAGAGAGCCCCTACCGCGCATCGACGACTTGCTAGATAGAGCGCAAGGGTGCCGGTATTTCAGTAAGATAGATCTGAAGTCCGGGTACCATCAGATTGCAATCCGGCCTGAGGATCAACACAAAACCGCATTTCAGACCAGATACGGTCTGTACGAGTTTGTGGTGATGCCTTTCGCCCTTTGCAATGCTCCTGGCACTTTTCAGCAAGCTATGAATCAGATATTTCATGACTACTTGGATAAGTTTGTCATTGCGTGCCTCGATGACATACTTATTTTTAGTAGGACTGTCGAGGAGCATATAGCGCACTTAGACAAAGCCCTCAGTTTCCTTCGGCAGCACAAGTTCAAGATAAACAGGGAGAAGTGTGAGTTTGGCCGCACCCATATCTTGTACTTGCCGCATTTCAGACCAGGTACGGTCCGTACAAGTTTGTGGTGATGCCTTTCGCCCTTTGCAATGCTCCTGGCACTTTTCAGCAAGCTATGAATCAGATATTTCATGACTACTTGGATAAGTTTGTAATTGCGTGCCTCGATGACATACTTTTAGTAGGACTGTCGAGGAGCATATAGCGCACTTAGACAAAGTCCTCAGTTTCCTTCGGCAGCACAAGTTCAAGATAAACAGGGAGAAGTGTGAGTTTGGCCGCACCCGTATCTTGTACTTGGGTCATGAGATTTCCGCAGAGGGTTTGAAACCCGATGACGCGAAGGTGGCCAGCATTCGTGACTGGCTGCGTCCTCAGTCTGTGACTGAGATGAGATCCTTCTTAGGGATGACAGGCTACTACCTCAATTTTGTTCAGAATTACAGCATAGTGGCCGCCCCTTTGACGGATCTGGCTCGCCTTGACACCCCATGGGAGTGGACAGACAGGAGTGAGGCTGCTTTCAGACATCTGAAGCATGCGTTGACACACCATGAGGTCTTGAAACTTCCTGATCCTGACAAACCTTTGTAGTAACTACGGATGCCAGCCAACATGGCATAGGCGCCATACTTGCGCAGCAGGAGGGGACGAAGTTAAGGCCAGTAGAGTACGTGTCCAAAAAGATGCCCTCTCAGAAGTTGGCTAAGTCCACCTATGAGAAGGAGCTCTATGCGATCTACAAGGCGCTCACCCATTGGAGGAACTATCTCCTTGGG